TCCGCTCGCAGTTCGTCCAGCCCATCTGCCTGCCTGAGCCCGGCAGCTCCTTCTCCCCCGGACAGAAGTGCCAGATCGCGGGCTGGGGCCACCAGGACGAGAGTGAGTGGGCGGCGGGCGGCGCGTGGGCGGCGGCCGGCCTGCCCTGAGCGCCACCCGCTGCGCAGGCGGGGACAGCTACGCCAGCTCGCTGCGCGAGGCGCTGGTGCCCCTGGTGGCCGACCACAAGTGCCGCAGCCCCGAGGTGTACGGCGCCGACGTCAGCGCCAACATGCTGTGCGCCGGCTACTTCGACTGCAAGTCCGACGCCTGCCAGGTGAGCGCAGCCGCACCGCCCGAGGCCGCGGGGACCCGGGCACCGCCCTCTCGGTGGCCAGCCCCCACCCCGCAGGACCTCTGGGCCCCCGATGGGTGCCCAGGGCCAGATCACGCTCCTCACACGGAGGGGAAACTGAGGCACAGGAGGGGCAGGGGCACAGAGCCTAGCTGCCCTGCCCGGGCTGTGGGTGCATCCCTGAGATGGGGAGCTGCTCGGCCCCCATCTTATAACAGGGGAAACTGAGGCCTGCAGCGGCCACTCACCCTCCAGAGTCACACGGCACAGACCAGGCAGAGACGTGCTTGACACCGGACCGCGCGGCGGAGGGGCCCGGGCCTGGGCGGGGGAGGTGTCTCGCGGGGGGCCGCCAGGGCTGGACACAGGCCTGCCGTGTGGGCACCTGCCGCTGGGAGTGGGGGCGGGAGCTGCAGGCGTCCGGGCCTTGCTGACGGAGCCCGGAGCGTGAGGCCCTGCCCCGGCCTCGGGTCCCTGGGGCCTGGGTCACCTGGGCAGTCTGAGGCCTTCTGGGCTTTGGGCTCCTCTGCAGCCCTGGCTCTGACCCGGGCCCCGCGCAGGGGGACTCGGGCGGGCCCCTGGCCTGCGAGAAGGACGGGGTGGCCTACCTGGCCGGCATCATCAGCTGGGGCGACGGCTGCGGGCGGCTCAGCAAGCCTGGCGTCTACACCCGCGTGGCCAGATACGTCGACTGGATCAACGACCGGATTCGGCCCTCCAGGCGCCCCTCCTGAGCCTTGGCGCCCCGCCCCCCAATAAAGAGCTTCCAGAGCCCGGCTGCCTGCTGTCAGCTGACCCCACGACCACCTGTGCAGGGCCAACGTGGGCGCCGGGCTGGCACTGAGGCCCAGGCGGCGCGGGGGCAGGCGCGAAGGGGGTTGGGGGTGGCCAGGCGCCAGGGCAGGGCCCGGGCGAGGCCCACTCACCGGAAGGCGACCGGACAGGCGGACAGGCCGGCGGCCGCGTCCTGGGGCAGCTGTGCTTTCCGGGAGCGGAGGGAGGGGCCGAGGGCCAGGGGAGAGGGGAGGGTCACTCCTGGCTGGAATTCGGGCAGCCGCTCCTGCTCCAGCTGGCTGGACACCAGGTGTGGGAAGGGGCCCCGGACGCCGAGGGAGAGCGCTGGAGACCGGATCTGGCGCTCAGCGGGCGCGGCTTGCTGGCGCCCGGTGGGGGCGGCTGCGGGGGGGGGCCGAGTCCCCAGGCCTGATGGGGTGCCAGCAGGCACAGACGGGAGCTGAGCCTGGGGGCGGCAGTCCCAGGTCGGGGCGGG